TTCTGACCTCAAGGACTACTCACATGTACATAACTCTCCTAAACTTCTCAACTTCTTATTTAATGGGCTTGACTCTCCCCTGAGTACACGGATTTCTGAAGACATAGTAGGCAGTTCTGAAAGGGTGAATAAACAAGAAACTAATCAGAAATCTAACTAAAGAAACCCTGGAAAGGAAGTTTCCAGAGCTGTTTCTACCTCTACCTTGCTGACTTTGGCATCTCTGGCTGTGCTGTCCCCGCTCCCCTCCAAAAAAGTGCCTTTATATTCTCCAAAGAAGTAGCCTAAGACATGAGATGGCTGTGGATTACTAAGCATCTTTTCTACCTGTTTTTGGGATACCCTGAATGTAACCTCTTCCTCTTCCCCAACACACATGCACCTTGAGTGGAGGGCAGGGATTATCACGTTTAAATAATCTCTGGAGTTTTGCACTTCCAAAGAGCTTTGAGCTCCTGGTTTGTAGACATGGGTTAGGGGAGCTCTTCCAGATCTCCTGGAGGTTACCTTAATGTAATGATTTCTTCAGGCAGTTTTAACTTTAACAGATGGAAAAGTGACTCCCTTTGGAGCTTCAATAACCGACTCATTTGAGGGAGTGGTGGACAGGGATAAGTAATTGTTAGTGTGGAGATGATCATTTTGACATGAAGGCAGATGCCAGTCTGCTTTCATTCATCTTTAGTGTTTAGCATTATTGTGATTCCAGCTACTCCAGAGGCTGAGGCAGGAGGATTACAAACTCCAGGATGCAAACTATCCTTACACCTCAGGGTCTGAGTCTGTCTAATTAGAAAACGGGTGGGTGTTCTGGCTGTTCTGGGAACATCTCCTCTCCCCCTAGATTGTGACCTGTGCTTCACCTCCTGAACGCCTGGGTGGTGCCTTTGGACATTTACATTATTTGCATAGTATACTATGCTGAGCAGCCGTGCTCTTTCTTTCCCTTGTCTTTTTTGTCTTGTGAAGAAGAATCAGACTTCTTTGGTTGCCCACTCAACCCCTCCCTACCTCTCCTGACTCTGATTGGTCTGTGGTTCTCTGAACTGTCCTGCTCTGCCCATTGTCTGTGTAAGGTATCTGCTTCTATTGCCCCTTGCTGTTTCTGGATTTTTCTGTGGATGACCCTCAACTAACCTTAGGTCTGCAGCTTTAATCTCCTCCTTGTTTGCCCCTTATAGGTCTTTTTTGCTTTTTGATATTGGGAATCAAATATGCCTCATAATCCTAGGCAAGCACCCTACCACTGAGCTATGCCCCTAGCACCTTAGAAGATCTTAGTAGATCTTCTTAATGTTTGTGCCTTTAGAAAATGAAATAATTTTATTTTAATAAATTGTGAAAATAAAGGGTTTATTTTAAAATTTAAGTGATGTAGAAAGGTCTCATTAGGAAGTAGTCATGGAAATCATGGTCGAATGTGACTCCAGTATTAATATTTTCATAATTAATTTGAGAATATCACCCTGGATTTGTATTTAACATGCACATAGAATACATAAATTTACCTGAATGAACTCATATTTTGTTCCTTGGTATTTTAAAATTTATTTATTTATTTATTTATTGGCACCAGGAACTGAACCCAGGGGCACTTAACCATTGAGCCATATCCCCACCTATTTTTT